AAAAATAACAACACTTTGTCAGGACCATGAGACGATCATTCCTACCAACTTTCAGTTCAATCGGTCCAGCAGAACTTGACTTTAAGTTTGAAATAGGTTTTCAAAATGGCGGCCCTGGCGGCCATATTGGATTTCTAATCGACCCGAAAAATAACAATACTTTGTCAGGACCATGAGACGATCATTCCTACTAACTTTCAGTTCAATTGGTCCAGCAGAACTTGACTTTAATTTTGAAATTGATTTTTCAAAATGGCGGCCATGGCGGCCATATTGGATTTCTGATCGACCTGAAAAATAACAACACTTTGTCAGGACTATGAGGCGATCATTCCTACCAACTTTCAGTTCAATCGGCCCAGCAGAACTTGACTTTAAGTTTGAAATGNCCTTCTACGTCGGTAAAAAGGCCCGAGAAGTTCCGGAATGCGACAGTCTACCATTACAATGATGTCTACAACAACGAATTTACTGATTGATCAATACAAAATACTGCATTATTACGGTGAGTGAAACATTGTCTTGTCTATTTTATTTCTTTATCTCTTTGTATGCTGCATTACTTTTCATAGTAAACAATGCTCCCACTGAATTAATTTGAAGATATTTAATTAAAAGTATTTCAATTTTAAAACCTACTTTATTGGCATTTATGTAGCTCATACGTATTCAAAACCTATATGTTTTAGGAACCTTGTATAAAGACCTATCTAATTAACCTTAGACATTTTTTGAAAAGTTCCTATAATTACCTGTACAGGTGAGGGACAGGTAAAGTATTTGATAATTAATATAATTTCTTTGTTATTCCCTTTAATTTTCATTAAAATGCAGTACATGTTGACATTTGAAGACAAATAACTCTTATTCTGATATCATACTAAATAACTATGACATTACCTGCTCATTTACAGCTTATAAATGCCCAGGTAAGACAGGTGAACTCAAAGTAAAACGTTCAGTGTCTTGTCCATTGATAATAGCTCATCGTTTGTTCATATTTTTTAAATAAAGACATTCACACACTTTCATATCATATTGATGTTTATTTGATATTAGTTCTATCAGTCATTTTATATACATATAACCATGCAGGTGTGTTAATTACAGGTAACAGTAAGTCAATGCTACGCGTTTTTGAGTCCGATTATGATTCTGTGCTGTCATTTTGGTCACAAAAACTTGGGTCTCTATTAAAGAATCTGTTGTCAATAATTATAAAGAAAAGATTTCTCAATAATTCCAATGAAAATTGTCAGGCAAAATAATTATTCGAGTTCCGAGGCTGACATGTCGGTCCCGAATTGACGTGGTCCCGACAAGATATGTCAAATATAAACAAAGATTGATACGGGCAAATTGATTCTGATTTATGCCGCGATTAGCCTTACATTGGTAAAAAAATACTGTCTGTTTCAATAACTTTATTTGAAAACAATTTGTCATACATGAAGAGTTAGAAATATTCCAAAGGCAATGCGCATGCATCATTATGATTATCGATGTTCACTTTCAAACCTGCGTTGCCGATAATGTCGGAATCGGGTTGTTGTCAATTCTGTACCGTCTCTATCTCGCGGCTAGATCCCGCACAATATCATCGTCATTGTACAAATAAATCATATCGAATGAAGGATAATCATTTAACTCCAATGCTACTATATATCCCACTTCAATACCGTCGAAAATGGCTTCACTACCTAAATCCCCGAAGCATTTGTTCAAAAAAAAATTGTTGGTCCGCCATTTTCTGACGAAGTACTTTCGTTTTATGAATAGCCTTTAATGTGACCTTTGCTAACCTTGTAACCGACTAATCAACGCACAGAAATGATATGACGTGTATATAGAATCCCCCTGACAAGTGATTTGATTGGTTCACGGTTGATAGCTATTAATACGATGACGTTGAACAAAGGGGTTTTCCAAAACGAGTAATCTCGTTTCCCGTGTCTCGAAGCAAAATGTCCAGGACGAGTTTTCTCGCCCTCAATTTGACATAATGCGTACACAGGCGTATTTCTGCGGGATTTTACCCGCACATGATTTCTATTTATGCGGGCATGTTATCATATTTGCGTCATTGACGCAATGCCGCGCCCTAGATGCAACCCTGCTGAAGGACACTAGGAAAGTCTTACCTGACTACCCTCGTCAGTCTGAAGGACACTAGGAAAGACTTAGCTGACTATCCTCCTAAGCATGAAGGATGCTAGGAAGTCTTACCTGGCTACCCTCCTCAGCCTGAAGGACACTAGGATAGACTTACCTGACTATCTTCCTCAGCCTGAAGGATGCTAGGAAGTCTTACCTGACTACCAATCTCAGCCTGAAGGACACTAGGATAGACTTACCTGACTACCCTCTTCTGCCTGAAGGACACTAGGAAGTCTTACCTGACTACCCTCCTCAGCCTGAAGGATGCTACGAAGTCTTACCTGACTACCCTCCTCAGCCTGAAGGATGCTAGGAAGGCTTACCTGACTACCCTCCTCAGCCTGAAGGACACTAGGAAAGACTTACCTGACTACCCTCCTCAGTCTGAAGGACACTAGGAAAGACTTACCTGACTACCCTCCTCAGCCTGAAGGATGCTAGGAAGTCTTACCTGACTACCCTCCTCAGCCTGAAGGACAATAGGAAAGACTTACCTGACTTCCCTCTTCAGTCTGAAGGACACTCGGAAAGACTTACCTGACTTCCCTCTTTAGTCTGAAGGACACTAGGAAAGACTTACCTGACTATCCTCCTCAGCCTGAAGGATGCTAGGAAAGACTTACCTGACTACCCTCCTCAACCTGAAGGATGCTAGGAAAGACTTACCTGACTACCCTCCTCAGCCTGAAGGACATTAGGGAAGACTTACCTGACTACCCTCCTCAGCCTGAAGGACACTCGGAAAGACTTACCTGACTCCTCTCCTCAGCCTGAAGTATGCTAGGAAAGACTTACTTGACTACCCTCCTCAGCCCGAAGAATGCTAGGAAAGACTTGCCTGACTACCCTCCTCAACCTGAAGGACGCTAGGAAAGACTTACCCGACTATCCTCCTCAGCCTGAAGGATGCTAGGAAAGACTTACCTGACTAATCTCCTCAGCCTGAAGGATGCTAGGAAAGACTTACCTGACTATCCTCCTCAGCCTCAAGGATGCTAGGAAAGACTTACCTGACTACCCTCCTCAGCCTGAAGGACATTCCACTGTTTCCTATCTTCGTCCAGATTTAACACATACAGCTGGTCAGACACAGAGAACTTATCGATGTGAAACAACATTCCACCATAGACAAAGATGGCATTGGTTTGCTCATGATAAACTGCTGTATGGCCATACAACCCTGTTGTCAAAGAAACATAATATATAATTAGTTTTTTTATATAGCCACTCACATTCCCTTCCCTATCAAAATTGACATTCCCCTCTCAGTAACTCCTCAAAAATAATAAAAAATAATAAATAACAAGAGGCCCAGAGGGCCTGTATCGCTCACCTGAATATTTAAGCACTCATAGCAAAATATTCTCATAAAATATTATACTGTACTACAAATATTTCCCTCACAAACTTTGTCGGCTCCATCTGTTGAAACTACCAGCCAAATATTATTATATGATTCAATGCTTTTTTGTCCTTCTTCAGAAGTTGTGTGAAGTGCTTGACATAGTTTTCCCTGTGACCTTGTAAGTAGATTTAGGTAATTTTCCTTCTCAAACTTTGTTGGCTCTATCCCAAGAAGCTACCTGCCAAATCTTACGAATCCAATCCAAATCAGTTTGAAATGTTGTTAACCACTAGATCTGTGACCTTTAACTCTTTCCGTACCATTGTCATGTACACACAACAACAATATGTCATCCTGGTCCCCAATGTTGTGTACAGAAGACAAAATAATAGGCCTCTCATACTTTGATGCAACCTGTCTATGTTTAGCTGGTTATACAATTAATTGTTGCTAAAATTAGCACCTATCAATTGGAAAGAAATATTTGTATAGGTGCAGAGTACACAGTTTTCATTATGTGACCTATTGTTTTCGAATTTGCGGCAAGATATTTGCATATGGTGTTTCAAATATAAACAATATGGCGGCAACTTAATTCGATATGAACACTTGTAAATTCATCATCAAACATTTGTTGAGACTTATGGAAGTAAATATGAATATTTTAATATAAGTCTCCATGAAATCTACTTGTATTTAGAAAAAAACCTTAACAACTTCGTATTTGTTACCATAATCGATCCCCATTGGAAACCTGCATTACCACGCTGTTTTGAATACAAGGCATCCATTCGTTTGCTGCCAGACAAATGTCAATTTCTCAGTCATTATCAGCTACCAGTTAGTCACAATGCTGCGAAAATGTAGTGTGGGTCTATGAACAACATGAAACAATAACAATATTTGTTCACTGTTATCTGTTTATTTCTTGCAGCAGTTACACCTCGTCTAAAGAGTACATTAATAATCCGCCATTTTGTTATATGTGCTGGGGTGGGTCTAGTAAGGACATCCGGTACGGAAAGAGTTTAAGTCGGTTGAGGTCATTTCATTTGCAAACTTTGGTGAGCTCTATCCCAAGAAGCTACCAGCCATATATTATGATTCTATGCCTTTCGATTATTCTTCAGAAGTCGTTTGATGATTTAAACATATTAGACCCCTGTGACCCTGAAAGTAGGTCAAGGTCATTTCAATTTGCAAATTTTGTAATGCACAATTTAAAGAAGCCATCAATCAAATATGAAGATTCTAAACCTTTCAGTTCTTCAGGAGAAGTCGTCTGAAGTGTTTGACACATTTGACTGCTTAGACCTTGCATGTATGTCAAGGTCATTTTAATTCGCAAATTTTGTAATGCTCAATTTAAAGAAGCCATCAGTCAAATATGAAGATTCTAAACCTTTCAGTTCTTCAGGAGAAGTCGTTTGAAGTGTTTGACACATTTGACTGCTTAGACCTTGCATGTATGTCAAGGTCATTTTCATTCTAAAACTTTGTCGGGCTCTATCCCAGGAAGCCAACAGCCAAATATATAGATTCTATACCTTTCAATTCTTCAGAAAATGTCATTTGAAGTGAAAGACACATTTGACCGCTGTGACCTTGAACGTAGGTCAAGGTCATTTTTATTCTCAAACTTTTTCAGGCTCTATCCTAGGAAGCCACCAGCCAAATACGAAGATTTTGTACCTTTCAGTTCTTCAGAAGTCGAAAGTAGGTCAAGGTCACTTTCGTTCTCAAACTTTGTCAAGCTCCTACCAACGAAGCTTTCAGCCAAATATCATGACTCTGGACCTGTGCGTTCTTTAGCAGACGTTGACGGACAACGACAAACGGACGACGAACAGACTGACAACAGCCATCGCACAATGACACCGTGCTCACTTGCCCTTCCCCTTTCCCTATAAATTTTTAACCTCCACACTCCCTTCCCTATAACCCTTCAACCTTCACACTCCCTTCCCTATAAATGTTCAACCTTCACACAACCTTTCCTATAACCCTTCAACTTTTACACTCCCTTCCCTATAAACCTTCAACCTTCACACTCCCTTCGCTATCAACCTACAAACTTAATACTCCCTTCCCTATAAACCTTCACACTCATTTCACTATAAATCTTCAAGCTTCAAACCCCCATTCTCTATAACCCTTCAACATACACACTCCTTTCCCTATAAATGTTCAACCTTCACACTCCCTTCCCTATCAACCATTAACCTTCACACTCCCTTCCCTATAAACCTTTAACCTTCACTCTCCCTTCCCTATCAACCTTGACACTCCCCTTCTCTGTAACTCCTCCCATTCCCTTCCCTATCAAGCTTGACACTCCCCTCTCTGTAACTCCTCACATTCCATTCCCTATCAACCTTGACACTCCCCTCTCTGTAACCCCTCACATTCCCTTCCCTATCAAACTTGACACTCCCCTCTCTGTTACTCCTCACATTCCCTTCCCTATCATCCTTGACACTCCCCTTCTCTGTAACGCCTCCCTTTCCCTTCCCTATCAACCTTGACCCTCCTCTCTCTGTAACTCCTCACATTCTCTTCCCTATCAACCTTGACACTCCTCTCTCTGTAACTCCTCACATTCTCTTCCCTATCAACCTTGACACTCCTCTCCCTGTTACTCCTCACATTCCCTTCCCTATCAAACTTGACACTCCCCTCTCTGTAACTCCTCACATTCCATTCCCTATCAACCTTGACACTCCCCTCTCTTTTACTCCTCACATTCCCTTCCCTATCATCCTTGACACTCCCCTTCTCTGTAACGCCTCCCTTTCCCTTCCCTATCAACCTTGACACTCCGCTCTCTGTAACTCCTCACATTCCCTTACCTATCAACCTTGACACTCCTCTCTCTGTAACTCGTCACATTCCCTTCCCTATCAACCTTGCCACTCCCCTCTCTGTTACTCCTTATATTCCCTTCTCTATCAACCTTGACACTCCCCTCTCTGTAACTCCTCACATTCCCTCCCCTATCAACCTTGACACTCCCCTCTCTGTAACTCCTCACATTCCATTCCCTATCAACCTTGACACTCCCCTTCTCTGTAACTCCTCACATTGCCTTCCCTATCAACCTTGACACTCCTCTCTCTGTAACTCCTCACATTCTCTTCCCTATCAACCTTGACACTCCTCTCTCTGTAACTCCTCACATTCCCTCCCCTATCAACCTTGACACTCCCCTCTCTGTTACTCCTCACATTCCCTTCCCTATCATCCTTGACACTCCCCTTCTCTGTAACGCCTCCCTTTCCCTTCCCTATCAACCTTGACCCTCCCCTTCTCTGTAACTCCTCACATTCCCTTACCTATCAACCTTGACACTCCTCTCTCTGTAACTCGTCACATTCCCTTCCCTATCAACCTTGACCCTCCTCTCTCTGTAACTCCTCACATTCCCTCCCCTATCAACCTTGACACTCCCCTCTCTGTAACTCCTCACATTCCCTCCCCTATCAACCTTGACACTCCCCTCTCTTTTACTCCTCACATTCCCTTCCCTATCATCCTTGACACTCCCCTTCTCTGTAACGCCTCCCTTTCCCTTCCCTATCAACCTTGACCCTCCTCTCTCTGTAACTCCTCACATTCCCTCCCCTATCAACCTTGACACTCCCCTCTCTTTTACTCCTCACATTCCCTTCCCTATCAACCTTGACACTCCCCTCTCTGTTACTCCTTATATTCCCTTCTCTATCAACCTTGACACTCCCCTCTCTGTAACTCCTCACATTCCCTTCCCTACCAACCTTGACACTCCCCTCTCTGTTACTCCTCACATTCCCTTCCCTATCAACCTTGACTCTCCCCTCTCTGTTACTCCTTATATTCCCTTCTCTATCAACCTTGACACTCCCCTCTCTGTAACTCCTCACATTCCATTCCCTATCAACCTTGACACTCCCCTCTCTGTTACTCCTTACATTCCCTTCTCTATCAACCTTGACACTCCCCTCTCTGTAACTCCTCACATTCCCTTCCCTTTCAACCTTGACACTCCCCTTCTCTGTAACTCCTCACATTCCCTTCCCTATCAACCTTGACACTCCTCTCTCTGTAACTCCTCACATTCCCTTCCCTTTCAACCGGCTTTAAAAGTTTCAACCTTTGTCCTGACTGAATACCCTACCTAAAGGGACAGCTCCATCCAGACTGCCCCGGCCGTACTCGGACCATGCCTTTCCGTGTTCCACATTAGTATCAAATTTGTAGATCATGTTAGAGAAGTAGTTTTCTGTTGAGAATCCTCCGATGATGAGCAGCTGGGTTTCCTCTATACGTGTCATAGTGTGTCCAGCCACGGGCTTCACCAGTGCTGGTACCTGTACAACATTTATACATGTAAATGTGTGAACTCCTATTAAAACAAAACAAGGGGATATATGATGGTCTCATTCATTTGCATAAAGTCAGAAATGACAGTATACTTACCGACATGCGTGTCCACTTGCGTCCTCCAATAGAAAAGCTCCAGAGCTCATTGGAAGCCTTATATTTCTTTTTGCCAGTCCTGTCTTTGATGAATCCCCCGTAGATAAATAACTGTCTCTTTATTGGCACACAGGCAGCAGCATGGTAATACCTTTACAAACAAGTATACAACTAAGTAAGAATATTGATTTATCATATTAACTCCCACAAGAGATAAGGAAAACCTAGACATATATGTATGTGTACAATCACTAGAAAATGATATACATGTCTTTCTCCCACACCTGACAGATTTATCTCCAGTTTTGCCGGTGCTAGATTTATCTGTCTCCGCCCTAGGGTTGAGACGGCGGGATTCCCCTATTCATAACAATGGCATGACGTCACTTCAACAATACAATGACGTCACGTCAACAATCCATCAACAAATTGCCTGTATGTGTTTTGGGTCTATGTTTACCTTTATTTCACATTAAAATACTGTTAGATATGGGAGAAAAATAATCAATCGCTACTGGTTGTGTAAGATAGAGAAATCACAACCCTCGGACTAAGAATTTTTGTCCAGAACGAGGCTTTGAGATTTCTCTATCTTACACAACCAGTAGCGATAGATTCTATTATTCAATCCTCCACTATAACAAATACTGTAGTACGGTACTAAAATACCTGTATATGTGTACAGTACTAAAATACCTGTATATGTGTACAGTACTAAAATACCTGTATATGTGTACAGTACTAAAATACATGTATATGTGTACAGTACTAAATACCTGTGTACAATACTAAAATACATGTTTAAGTGTACAATACTAGAATACCTGTATAAGTGTACAGTACTAAATACCTGTATAAGTGTACAGTATTAAAATACTTGTATATAAGTGTACAGTACTAAAATACCTGTATATGTGTACAGTACTAAAATACATGTTTAAGTGTACAATACTAAAATACCTGTATATGTGTACAGTACTAAAATACATGTATATGAGTACAGTACTAAATACCTGTGTACAGTACTAAAATACATGTTTAAGTGTACAATTCTAAAATACCTGTATATGTGTACAGTACTAAATACCTGTGTACAGTACTAGAATACCTGTATAAGTGTACAGTACTAAATACCTGTATAAGTGTACAATACTAAAATATCTGTATAAGTGTACAGTATTAAAATACTTGTATATGTGTACAGTACTAAATACCTGTGTACAGTACTAGAATACCTGTATAAGTGTACAGTACTAAATACCTGAATAAGTGTACAATACTAGAAAACCTGTATATGTGTACAGTACTAAAATACTTGTATATGTGTACAGTACTAAAATACCTGTATATATGTGTGCAGTACTAAAATATCTGTATATGTGTACAGTACTAAAATACCTGTATAAGTGTACAGTACTAAAATACTTCTATATGTGTACAGTACTAAAATACATGTATACTAAAATACCTGTATATGTGTACGATACTGTAACTTGTATATATGTGTACAGTATTAAAATACCTGTATATGTGTACAATGCTAAAATACCTGTATATGGGTACAGTACTTAAATACCTGTATATGTGTACAGTACTAAAATACCTGTATATGTGTACAATACTAAAATACAGGTATATGTGAACAATATAATATTTTACATGGGCACAGTACCTGCCCTCTGGCTCGTCAATGGTAATGGGCATGATCTGGTTCCACTTGCTGCCAAAGGTGATATTGAACACCCACAGGTCGTTGAGCAGCCCCTTCTCAAGAGAATGGCCACCAAACATGTAGAGGAGTTCGTCCCCACAGGCTGTAAGGGTGTGGCCATACCTGTTCCACTGTCCATAGAGGCCCCTGAGGCGAGGCACTGCTTGGTAAAACCATGGTATCAACTCAATACTATAAGTAGACCCTCCATTGAAGTTTGCTTGACATCTACACGAGAATTTATCCTGGAAATAATCAAATACAATAATGAAGTCATAAAACATAATCACTTCGATAGTTTTTAATCTGTACAATTAATTACCTATTATCTGTATCTATTTCATTATCTGTATTGTAAGTTTGTGTATTCCACACCTGTGTGCTTCTCACCTGGATATATCTGAATTGTAAGTTTGTGTATTCCACACCTGTGTGGTTCTCACCTGGATATATCTGTATTGTAAGTTTGTTTATTCCACACCTGTGTGGTTCTCACCTGGATATATCTGTATAGTAAGTTTGTGTATTCCACACCTGTGTGGTTCTCACCTGGATATATCTGTATGGTAAGTTTGTGTATTCAAGAACTATGTAGTTCTCACCTGGATATATCTGTATTGTAAGATTGTGTATTCCACACCAGTGTGGTTCTTAACTAGATATATCTATATTGTAAGTTTGTGTATTCCACCCCGGTGTGGTTCTCACCTGGATATATATGTATTGTAAGTTTGTGTATTACCCACCTGTGTGGTTCTCACCTGGATATATCTGTATTGTAAGTTTGTGTATTCCACACCTGTGTGGTTCTCACCTGGATATATCTGAATTGTAAGTTGGTGTATTCCACACCTATGTGGTTCTCACCTGGATATATCTTTATTGTAAGTTTGTGTATTACACACCTGTGTGGTTCTGACCTGGATATATCTGAATTGTAAGTTGGTGTATTCCACACCTGTGTGGTTCTCACCTGGATATATCTGTATTGTAAGTTTGTGTATTCCACACCTGTGTGGTTCTCACCTGGATATATCTGTATTGTAAGTTTGTGTATTCCACACCTGTGTGGTTCTCACCTGGATATATCTGTATTGTAAGTTTGTGTATTCCACACCTGTGTGGTTCTCACCTGGATATATCTGTATTGTAAGTTTGTGTATTCCACACCTGTGTGGTTCTCACCTGGATATATCTGTATTGTAAGTTTGTGTATTCCACACCTGTGTGGTTCTCACCTGGATATATCTGTATTGTAAGTTTGTGTATTCCACACCTGTGTGGTTCTCACCTGGATATATCTGTATTGTAAGTTTGTGTATTCCACACCTGTGTGGTTCTCACCTGGATATATCTGTATTGTAAGTTTGTGTATTCCACACCTGTGTGGTTCTCACCTGGATATATCTGTATTGTAAGTTTGTGTATTCCACACCTGTGTGGTTCTCACCTGGATATATCTGTATTGTAAGTTTGTGTATTCCACACCTGTGTGGTTCTCACCTGGATATATCTGTATTGTAAGTTTGTGTATTCCACACCTGTGTGGTTCTCACCTGGATATATCTGTATTGTAAGTTTGTGTATTCCACACCTGTATGGTTCTCACCTGGATATATATGTATTGTAAGTTTGTGTATTCCAGACCTGTGTGGTTCTCACCTGGATATATCTGTATTTTAAGTTTGTGTATTCCATACCTGTGTGGTTCTCACCTGGATATATCTGTATTGTAAGTTTGTGTATTCCACACCTGTATGGTTCTCACCTGGATAAATCTGAATTGTAAGTTTGTGTATTCCACACATGTGTGGTTCTCACCTGGATATATCTGTATTGTAAGTTTGTGTATTCCACACCTGTGTGGTTCTCACCTGGATATATCTGTATTGTAAGTTTGTGATTCAACACCTGTGTGGTTCTCACCTGGATATATCTGTATTGTAAGTTTGTGTATTCGACACCTGTGTGGATCTCACCTGGATATATCTGTATTGTAAGTTTGTGTATTCCACACCTGTGTGGTTCTCACCTGGATAAAGGTACAGTTGTCTGTACACATATAGTTGTCACAGTCAGGACCATCATGGCCGCTCTCACAGATACAGCGGTCCCCCTCACACACTTTATTGATCGGGCACACCGACGAACATTTGTTCATATGGTAGCTGGCATTGAATCCTGGTATGCGATGGTCTGAGGGAGAAAATTATCAATTGTTCACATTTACTAGCAACCAGAATATACATATGGAGATATGTGTATTTATGAACACTATAGACTATACATATTTATATATATATATTACATTTAAACAGACTTAGACACTAGATATAAGGTATATGTAGACACTAGTATACTATACCTAGACACAAGTACACTATACCTAGACACTAGTACACTATACCTAGACACTAGTATACTATATCTAGACACTAGTACACTATACCTAGACACTAGTGTACTATATCTTGACACTAGTGTACTATACCTAGACACTAGTACACTATACCTAGACACTAGTACACTATATCTAGACACTAGTGTACTATACCTAGACACTAGTACACTATACATAGACACTAGTACACTATACATAGACACTAGTACACTATACCTAGACACTAGTGCACTATACCTAGACACTAGTACACTATACCTAGACACTAGTACACTATACCTAGACACTAGTACACTATACCTAGACACTAGTACACTATACCTAGACACTAGTACACTATACCTAGACACTAGTACACTATACCTAGACACTAGTACACTATACCTAGACACTAGTACACTATACCTAGACACTAGTACACTATACCTAGACACTAGTACACTATACCTAGACACTAGTACACTATACCTAGACACTAGTACACTATACCTAGACACTAGTACACTATACCTAGACACTAGTACACTATACCTAGACACTAGTACACTATACCTAGACACTAGTACACTATACCTAGACACTAGTACACTATACCTAGACACTAGTACACTATACCTAGACACTAGTACACTATACCTAGACACTAGTACACTATACCTAGACACTAGTACACTATACCTAGACACTAGTACACTATACCTAGACACTAGTACACTATACCTAGACACTAGTACACTATACCTAGACACTAGTACACTATACCTAGACACTAGTACACTATACCTAGACACTAGTACACTATACCTAGACACTAGTACACTATACCTAGACACTAGTACACTATACCTAGACACTAGTACACTATACCTAGACACTAGTACACTATACCTAGACACTAGTACACTATACCTAGACACTAGTACACTATACCTAGACACTAGTGTACTATACATAGACACTAGTGTACTATACATAGACACTAGTGTACTATACATAGACACTAACAATCCAGCCAAATTGACATCAATGACATGACAACAAACACATTACAACAAGAAGGCCACATATAAATATAACAAGCACAGAATGAAGAGATAAAAAGCACTACTCTAAAGATTTGTTATGTTGATTTCTCCCACAACCACTGTAGTATTCCTCACTCCCGGCTTATTGGATAAACCTGCTAGGAGTTTTATGAGAAGTTCTTTTTACACAACCAATAAAACTTTCTATGTGACGTTTCGATGACTAGTACGATATGTACACTGTCACCTTCATCCTGCTAGGAGTTGGTAAACATTTTTGGTTACCCACTAGTGTGTAATATCCTGGGCATGATTTCATTGGTCAATCTTTGATTTATAACGTCACGTTACAATGCTTTTTGAAGTCATTTTCCATTATGACATCATGCTCCATGGCAACTGTTTCCCACATCGGAAACACACATGTATTTTCCAAGGGGAAAATGTGTTTTTTCAGGAAAAAATAGAATGTTACAGGAGAAAAAAGGTCCCCAAACTTGTGATGATTAGTTATCATGTTTATCTGTCTCGTTAGTTAGATTAACATGATAACCAACTGTCACTCGTTGGGGAACCTCTATATACATTAACTATGTAACATGGTAGTGTAAACATGTTTCCTACCACAACACATACTCAGTACATATACCCCCTACCTTTATACACTGTCTTGTCATGCAACTTTGTTAACCATCTAGAAAGGGTCAACAAAATATCTTTCTGTTTGTCAAAAGACAATTATTTGCCAAACATTACAACAATCCAACCTTTGACCTGGCCTTGACCTTGACCTGGACAGCAACGATGTGAGAGTATACCTCAGTACTGATGTTATGACATCAAACAAAATATAGTTCATGCAGGAGTAGCAAGTCTGGACAAGCATGCAATAAGTTAAGCTCAAATCAACAACCTGTGATATTAACCTTAGTCTTACAGAGCTCTCATCAACATCAAATGATATTTCACTTAGACTTAAAGAGCTTGAGTCTCCATCCTATGATATTTACCTTAGGCTTACAGAGCTTGAGTCTCCATCCTATGATATTTACTTAAGACTTAAAGATCTTGAGTCTCCATCCTATGATATTTACCTTAGGCTTACAGAGCTTGAGTCTCCATCCTATGATATTAACCTTAGACTTACAGCGCTTGAGTTTCCATCCTATGATATTTACCTAAGGCTTACAGAGCTTGAGTCTCCACCCTATGGTATTTACCTTAGTCTTACAGAGCTCGAGTCTCCATTCTATGATGTTTACCTTAGACTTACAGAGCTCGAGTCTCCATCCTATGATATTTCCCTTAGACTTACAGAGCTCGAGTCTCCATCCAATGGTATTTACCTTAGTCTTACAGAGCTCGAGGCTCCATTCTATGATGTTTACCTTAGACTTACAGAGCTCGAGTCTCCATCCTATGGTATTTACCTTAGTCTTACAGAGCTTGAGTCTCCTTTCTATGATATTTACCTTAGACTTACAGAGCTCGAGTCTCCATCCTATGATACTTACCTTAGGCTTACAGAGCTCGAGTCTCCATCCTATGATATTTCCCTTAGACTTACAGAGCTCGAGTCTCCATCCTATGATATTTACCTTAGACTTACAGAGCTCGAGTCTCCATCCTATGGTATTTACCTTAGTCTTACAGAGCTCGAGTCTCCATTCTATGATATTTACCTTAGACTTACAGAGCTCGAGTCTCCATCCTATGATATTTACCTGAGACTAACAGAGCACTGGTCTCCATCCTATGATATTTACCTTAGACTTACAGAGCTCGAGTCTCCATCCTATGATATTTACCTTAGGCTTACAGAGCTTGAGTCTCCATCCTATGATATTTACCTTAGACTTACAGAGCTTGAGTCTCCATCCTATGATATTTACCTGAGACTTACAGAGCTCGAGTCTCCATCCTATGATATTTACCTTAGGCTTACAGAGCTTGCGTCTCCATCCTATGATATTTACCTTAGACTTACAGAGCTCGAGTCTCCATCCTATGATATTTACCTTAGTCTTACAGAGCTCTGGTCTCCATCCTATGATATTTACCCTAGACTTACAGAGCTCTGGTCTCCATCCTATGATATTTACCTTAGTCTTACAGAGCTCTGGTCTCCATCCTATGATATTTACCCTAGTCTTACAGAGCTCTGGTCTCCATCCTATGATATTTACCTTAGTCTTACAGAGCTCTGGTCTCCATCCTATGATATTTACCTTAGGCTTACAGAGCTTGCATCTCCATCCTATGATATTTATCTTAGACTTACAGATCTAGACAGGATAGTTATAAGTGAGATACTCTCCTGTTATTAAACATTTCAACATGTCCAGGCATGCGTGGCATACAAAATTGCAAGGCAAGAATTACAATGTATGATTCATACAAAGATAGTATACAGAAGTAAGTACAAATGACTTAGATATTATACAGAAGTAAGTACAAATGACTTACAGGGGATTTCATGATAGATTACTTCATTTTTTTTCAGATTTAAACAGATGCTAGAACACTGTTGAGTGGAATTATTCAAAGGCGAATAAAATGTGGGATATCTAGGGAGGTTATTAAAGAAGTAAGTACAACTTATTTACCGAGGATGAGTACAGGGGAGATCATAAGAGCGAAGTCAAACCAAATATGGACCAACAGTTTTGAGACGGAGTCACAAAAAACAAGGTAACAAAAGACAGGGTAAAGGATAGGCCACAATTTCAGCCCACTGGTCAGACTTCTGACCATTTCAACTACCTCGGAATGTAAATATTACAAAATACACAAGGTTACCGCGAGCGGTATATAATACGCCCGTCACACATTGAATGAGCAGTTGTTTGTATGATTGAAATATATGAAGTATTTGTGAGTAATTGATATTAAAAGAGAAATCATTCAACATAACTGGTAGATCAATGAGTGCAATACAACATCATGGAACGCATGCATCGCATTAATGAAACCAAGGGTAATAACTCCA